AGTTTTACATTTCACTCTTTAAATATCATTGCTATCCATCACTCCCTTTTCACCTTTGCTGCCTCACCCTTGTCCTGCCCTGATAACTTCCAGGCAGGATTACGATGCTGGTCCCCTGAGGAGGCTCCTCTAGGTTGATCCATCAACACTCCCAGCCCTTCTCCCTTCTCCTCCTCTGCCACAGAGGCTAGAAAGCAAACAACTCCACATCCCAGCCCAACAAGGCCATGTGACACAGTTCCAATGAAAAAAGCATTGGTAGAAATCTACTGGAGAACTCTAGAGACATGTCTGCTCTTCTGAAGATGGAGGAACATGACAGGGGCTCTCCACCTGCCAAGGATGGTGGAAGAAAAGGTTGAAAGGGCCTGGGTCCCTGACAGCATCATTATAGGAGCTGCTTCTGAACTTCTTATAGTGGGAGAAAAATAGCCCTTATGTTTTAGTTGCTGTTTGTTTTCTGCTACTTCCAGCTTGATGTGCTGCTGACTAATATCTTGCCTAGCTGCTTTCCTGCTTCTAGTCTTTCATCATTCACATCCCCCTGTAATTTTTTTTTTTTTTGCAGTACGTGGGCCTCTCACTATTGTGGCCTCTCCTGTTGCGGAGCACAGGCTTCAGTCGCGCAGGCTCAGCGGCCATGGCTCATGGGCCCAGCCGCTCCGTGGCATGTGGGATCTTCCCGGACCGGGGAACGAACCCATGTCCCCTGCATTGGCAGGCGGACTCTCAACCATTGCGGCACCAGGGAAGCCCTACCCTATAATTTTTATGAGTGAAGGATGAACAGACCAGAAAAGAAAAGTAAATAAATAAATACTGATAATAAAAGCAAAGGACAGCTGACACGTGAAACAATGTTGAAGACCTAAAAAATTACAAAAAGTATGAAAACAAAATTTTAAGAGTAACCACAGTCCATTTAGTAAGGTTTAAAAAATTCCTACACACATCATTAGTTACTCAGGGCATCAGTATCAGCACCAGAGTACAGCACAGTTAGTGGAGACTCTCAAGAAATATTAATTCTACAAAAATATTCAGTCTACAGTGGATACAATGGTGAGTCAAACATAAAAGACGTCACAGCAGTGGAGCTTAGAGTTGAATCGGGAAGGAATACATGAACAAAATAATTATGCAAGTAAATGATTAAAATCTGTGCTACAAATTATCAAATTAAAGCCTGGTTTTTATAAAGGAGAACCTGATCTACTCCAAGTATTAGTGGGGACAGGGGGACCAGGCGCTACACTAAGCTCTGGTGATATAAATTTGAGTAGGTTACATTCTGTGCCTTTGGGGAGTTGCAATAAATAATTAAGAAGCCCAGTAAACAAACAACTACAGTTAAGTACAAGGAGCACTCCGATGGGTGTGACCAAAGGCTATGGGGACACCGAAAAGAAATGACTGATTCTCTCAAAGATTGAGTTACCCTGAAAATTAATCCACATTCAGTACATCATATCAAATGTTACCAAATTAATGAACTATGACTGAATTTAAGCATGAAACAAACCAGAAAATCTAAATTCTGACATATCAAAAAGTAATGAAATTGTTTAATGGACTTTGAAGCACGCAGTCCTAGCTCAGAAAATAATTCTGAGAATCAGATCACCACCTCTAAGCTTGGTCAACCATCCAAATGACTAGATTTGAACCATGATTGTATGCATTTGAGATTAAGACAAAAATAAAGGAAACAATGAATTAGACCAGACTGTATACACAAGTCAGGATCAGACAGCAAGGCAGAAAAAGCCAACATAAGTTTACTTTGTTCTTTCATTGAGATCCAACGAAAAGAGTTACACTTAAAAAGATTTAATACTGAGAACTAAAATCAGCCTTTTCATTCACTGTAGTTTATAAGATTATCAATAAACACCCAGAGACTTGGACCTTACATTAGTTCTGCCAGTGATCAGCTGTGTGAAGATAGAATCACACGGTTTCTCTGAGTCTCAGCCTCCTTATCATGAAAAAGAATAATTTCATCAGTAATATCCAATAATTCTAAAATAGACTTTCCAGAAAAGCCACCCACCACTGTATCATTTTCACTGATTTCAAATATTGGCTAACTGTAACTCTAAAAAATCAGGAGAATACAAAGACATTTTACCAATAATTTGCCAGGCCACAATACATCAGATTTCACAAACAATACTTTGAATTTTCCTAAGATAAGTTGGCAAATGTATAATGCCTGATAATTAAGAAGCTATGAAGCCAAAGAGTAGTTCTGGAGTCTAGTGAAGTCTATGTGGCCTCATTAACCAGGAAGCACACACTTTCAATCAGGTGGAATCTTTTTGATGAAATCTATGTCCTTCTCTTGGATAAAGGAAACAATAAAATAATCACCCAAATATAATGTCACATATCATTGTACAGTATTATGAAGATAAATGAAACCTGCATATAGTATTTCTGCTGTAGGACATACCTCTTCCCACCTCAGTCATTTTTACTTAGAGTCTTTGATAAAGTTGCTTAAAGAGAATAAGGAGTTACAATATGTGTGCCAAAGAGGAGTTTGACAATTTAAACAAAATGGAATACAGTTTTGTCACTAGATTCAAAAAATGACACAGTAATTATATGTAATGCCACATAATAATCTGAATGTGACTGCAGTGTAATTTTTCTGACATGCATTTACTAGCCTTCTCCATCGTAATTATTATGCACAGGTAACATTACCTTGTTTTTCAAGTTCTCCACTATCTCCTTGAGGTGCAAACTTTTCAAATATGTAGATTCATTTTTAAATATATGGTACTTACAATACCTATCTTATCACAGGACCTCAACATATGAGTATCAACAACAGCAATACTAATATTTATGCAAATACCTAATGTTCCAGAAAGAATGACAAGGAAGGGGTACCATTTTCATAATTTTTTGTAATGTAACTTTTTGTAGTATATGATAAAATGGTTTGGGACTTCCCTGGTGGCGCAGTGGTTAAGAATCCGCCTGCCAGTGCAGGGTACACGGGTTCGAGCCCTGGTCTGGGAAGACCCCACATGCTGTGAAGCAACTAAGCCCGTGCACCACAACTACTGAGCCTGCGCTCTAGAGCCCGCGAGCCACAACTACTGAGCCCACGTGTCACAACTACTGAAGCCCGCGCACCTAGAGCCTGCACTCTGCAACAAGAGAAGCCACTGCAATGAGAAGCCCGCACACTGCAACAAAGAGCAGCCCCCGCTCGCCACAACTAGAGAAAGCCCATGTGCAGCAATGAGACCCAGTGCAGCCATAAATAAATAATTAATTAATTAATTAATTTTTTTAAAAAAATGGTTTATCCTGCTCTTCCCATGCCATCTGTTCTCTCGTCAGTGAGAGGGTCCGTGTCATCCACAATGTAAGAGGGTCTGGCTAGTGTGAATGAGGTGCCTCATGAGGTTTTCAATGGGAAAAGCATCTCTGCTGCACACGCTTCAAGGCCGACAGCCACAGACCCTCTGAGCACACGCAAGCCTGGTGGACAAGCACAGCTGCGTCCTCACCCCTTTTCCTATCCAGACCCACACCCGCTCCATAAAACGTCATGTTAATGCTGTGATATAAGCAGATGCTACATCCTTTGACAAACTCAGAACAAAATTATAATGTGTGGAAATACAAATTTTATATAAAGATGAAAAAATGGATGAATGAGGTAAAAATTCATTAAGTTCTGTGATGGTTAGTTTTATGTGTCAACTTAGTTAGACTATGGTGCCCAGTTGCTTGATCAAACAGTAGTCTAGATGCTGCTATAAAGGTATTTTTTTAGATGTGATGAGCATTTACTAACAGCAGACTATAAGTAAAGTAGATTATCCTCCAGAATGAGGAGGTCGGCCTCATCCAACCAGTTGAAGGACTTAAGAACAAAGACAGGTTTCCTAAAGAAGAAGGAACTCTCCCCAAGACTGCACCACAGATATTCTACCCGAGTTTCCAGCGTTCAGACTCAAGACCACAACATCAAGTCTTATCTGAATCTCCAGCTGTGGGCTTGCCCCAGATTTCAGACTTGCCAGCCTCCACAATAGCAGGAGCCAATTCTTAAAATTTCTCCATCAATCAATCAATCAATCAATCAATCAACCTCAATCTCTCTCTCTGTACACACACACACACACACACACACACACACACACCCATATATAATCCCCTAGTGATTGTCCGGAGAATCCTGACTAATACACATTTATTCAGAATGTTAAATATATTAAGTATCTTCTTTGAAAAACAGATATTTTTTGGCTTTGTTTATGACATTGGTAAATTCTGTGCCAACCCTAGTTTTAAGGTTTGGATAAACAATATTAAAAACTTCATGAAACCAGCTGAGAATAAAGTTGACGTACTGAGCTTATGTACTTTCTAAAATTAGATTTGTGTACACAAATATATATTGTGTACTTTCTATAGAAACTTAGTTTATATATTTTCTATAGAAAAAATAGTATGAAAACATGAAAGAGTTCAGGTAATCATGACTCCCAGTTAATGACATCAGACTCTACTTCTTCTATGGGATATCACACACAGCAAAGTTCAGTCATTTTGTAGAAATACAGTAGCATAATCATATCCTTATGTGTAACAACTGCAAAAAAATGTTTTAAAATCGGGGTGTATATTACAATATTTTCCATTGTAAGACCAGTTTTACAACTTAAGGAGCAGTTCTTGATGTACACCGCTACTTTCATATCAGAAAACACACTTTAAAAAAAATTATCTTTATAAGTAGAAAGCAAATTACAATGGCTTTAATTTTAGACCAAAGTTGTATTTTATTAAGATTATAAATGGTGTCTTAAAAATGGTATCTTATTATTTTATATATAACAGACTGATATCAAAACACATGTTGAAATTAAAAATGTTAAATTACTTTTTAATCGCCCACAGAAATGCTGTGGTGGGCATCTTTCAGAAAGAAAGGCCCGTCTCAGGGGCCTTCTGAGGAAAGAGGTACTTACTAACTGCAGAGTCGTAGGAGGTCGAGTTGTGCCCTCCTCTCATGAAGGGATATGGCGACAGGTAAGCATGCGTGCAGTTCTTCAATGGTGGCTGACTGGCTAGGAAGGAGAGCAAAACAAAGGCATTTGTTACTGAGACGCTGAGTGAAGGTTTGTTCCTAACAGAAGAGAAATACAGGATCTGGGGGTACACAAGCAAAATAAAACTATAGGTTAGATCAACAAATTCAGAGAATTATTGAATAAGGGAGGAAACTTCCTTAAAAACCTCATATGGTAAATAAAGCACAGGGGACCTGGAAAGTGGATTCACTGAAAACATCTAGCTCATGACCTAATTCAAGGGAGAGAGCACCCTTAATATCACCCTAAAATTGAAAGCACCAGATTTCATTCGTTTTCACAACTGTATTCTCCAATTCCTAACATAATGCCTAGCACACAGTAGGTATTCAAAAAATAGTCATTTGAAAATCTAATAAATTTAGATTTAACCTTGATTGCTTCTAATTAATAGAAAATTTCTTCTATAGTCTATTTTCAGGGAAAAGATGTAAATGATAGACCACACAAGTTAATAATTCAAGTAATAATAATTTTTAGCATTTGAAGAAACCACAAGAAAGAACTTTAATGTTGTCTGAAATCTTGAAGATTTCATCATATACCCTCTAAGGAGTAAAATACTCTTCCCTTCTCTAAGTCTTGGCAAACTCTTCCTCCTGCAAAGTCTGACCTACTCCACTTTACCAAAGTCTAAATAATCTTCACTGGCAGATCACAGGCTTATTCTCCTACCCCAAATGACAATCAGAAACTATGAAATATTTCTCTCAAAATGCCATTTCATCATTACTTTGTTCCTTTTACATATGCCATTTACCTTTGACTCGTCTTCTGTGATCTCGTATTTGTATGTTATACTCCATGATCTTGACTATTGTTTAAATACCATACTTTGATTTATCACAGGAGTATTTTGATAAGAAGACTGATCATTTCAACCCACAATAAGTCTGAGGGTAATAAACAGTTCTTTCATTGCTGGATGCAACAAGATAAAGGCTAGCTATTTTCAGTGAATTGATTTTCAAAGATTAACACAATATAGAAAAAGCAGCTGAAAGAATGCATCATATTTTTAAGGAGCTATTCTACTTCAAAAAAGAACTTTAAAGTTTCTATGAGAGAATGGAAACATCAAAAGCAAAGCCTTTCTTAATATTGCCCACAAACTTGGTTTAAGCCCAAATAGAGCAAGTTTTCATCTGCCATTGCTGATCATTGTTTTGTTATAAAGAAGATTTTTTTAAACTTTGAAGCTATTAATATAAAATAATACATCTTTAATTCTGGATTTTTAAACTTGGGATTTCAAGCCCCAAAAAATAGCCCAAGAAAATAAAAGCATTTATTTGCAACACAGCAATAATAGACACTTGAAAAAAATACTATAGATAATATCTGTTTTGTTTGTTAGGGTTGGTATATTTTAAACATGAGCAAGGAAACAGTGGATTATTCAATTTTGCCATAAGTATTCAGACTCCAATTTCATGTTAGAAAATAAAATAATTATTCCTATAGCCACTTCTACTTAATAAAAAGGAATCACTTTATGAACATTTGGAAGATATCCTATTGAGATTCTACAACTAAGAATCCAATCCTATTTTATAAGTGACATGCACCAAATGAGAAACTATTCATTTTTATTTTAAAGCCAAGGGGGAAAATAAAGCTGAATTCCACTTACTGTACCAGAACTGCCAGATATTGGAATCATTCTCTTCCACAATCCCATTAAACCAACATCTCCAGAAGAATCCTTCATGGTGGAAAGTGACGTTTTCTATCTGCAGAGAACGCAAATGAAGTAACTTGCCATCAACACAAGGAACATAATCTAAACAGTTACCTCCAGGAAATTTTTTAAGCAACGTATTTTTTCCCAAATAATGATGATCAGTAGCTTTCTACATATCTCTTCTATGAAGAAATAGACATTCCACTACCATTTTCGGATTTCAAGAGGATACATAAAGCTATCCTCATTACTATTGAGTACAACAATATTTTGAAGAAGAAACGCACATTCTGTTCACCTGAACACTTTCCAACTTCAGTTGCAAGAAGCCAATAATCTGATCCAAAAGCCACCAAAAAGAGTAAAACCCCCAAAGCACCAAAGAGAGCCCCAAAGAAGATGGCAATATTTAATCTCATTTTCAATTCACTGGTTTCCCTTTAAATAAAATAAGAAAATAAAAAATAGCTAACACCTAGCTCCTCAACAAAAAAGAATAAAGATTTTTGAATAGGCAGAATCTTCTTGAGAAGTGTCTCTTAGCTCCTGTTTTGGTGGCTTTGCACTCGCACCCAGCCGGTGGATTTGTATTGCCTTTGCTCTCCCCTGGAGGGACTCCAGCCCAGCAGCTGAGAATGGCTGACTATTTTAGGATACTGATTGAGGAGCTGTCTCTCTCCCATGGGGATCAAAAAATAACTGACCTTTCCCTGACTGTGGAGGGCAGTATCAGGAGCTGGCCAGAATCATCGTTACTGCTGCTGGGTGGAAAGAAGACGGAATGGTATGAGGTCATTGACAGCACTGGCCCAAAGTCTTAAGTGTCTGAACAAGCTCCTCTTAATCCAGAATGACCATTACAAACCCAAAGACACTGAAGACTCTCTTTGAAGATATATAAATCACAGCTATAAAGAACCACAAAGACCTCTCTTGGATATAACTGAAGTTGTAATTAATATCTTAATCCTTTTTGGATACTTGTGGGATATAAAATAACTAGTGGGTTGACAGATCTAACATAACAGCGAGTACAATTCAGGTTTTAACTTATACATTCATAAGTGTATTTAAAAGATCAAGAATATGGTACCATAAACTACTTAAAGTAGAAAAAAATACTTTTATGTAGCATGCACTATGACATAAAAACAGCACTTTATATAGCAGCTCCCAGATCTTGTACAAGTTATTCCAAATAATCATCTCAAAAGTAGACTAATGAAAAAAAGTCTCAAAAATATATTATTTTCTGGATTAGGATGGAAGAATATGGTCTACTTTTTGTTTCCTTCATTTTAAATATTCAACCTCCTCAAAATATGGGTCTTACCTGATACCCATACGAGTCACCAAATAGCAATGAATCTAGACTTTCTTCATGCCTATCCTCTATAGCTCACTTCTTTCATTTTGTTCCATGTCTAAATATGCCCGAGAGCATTTTTTTAAGTATTTGTGTAATATTTTAAAACTTTCACAGTCTCTATGGCTATTGTTTTTATACTCCCAGTTGTAACATGGGTCACTGCATCTTCTCAAGAGGCATCTGAACTCTACCAACTTCCTTCACCACTTCTGTTTGACATGGGATGGATCCTTAGATAATGAAATTAGCAAAGGCAAAAAGACAACTCCTTAGTAAGGATGTAGGGCATTGACCAGCTCCAGGTATATGCAATCAGAAGTGCCCAAGAGTCATGAATGGAACTCTAAGTCATAGAATCTTTTTTTTTAATTTAATTTTATTTTTTTATACAGCAGGTTCTTATTAGTTATCTATTTTATACATATTAATGTATGTATGTCCATCCCAATCTCTCCCAGTTCATCCCACCACCACCACCCCACACACTTCCCCCCACCTTGGTGTCCATACATTTGTTCTCTACATCTATGTCTCTGTTTCTGCCTTGCAAACCCATTCATCTGTACCATTTTTCTAGATTCCACATATATGTGTTAATATACAATATTTGTTTTCCTCTTTCTGACTTACTTCACTAAGACATAGAATCAGTGACTGTGAGGGTTAAATGGAATTTGAGAGTACATCTGTGCTGACCCCTCATCTGATGCTCAAATCTCCTTTATAAGATTCTGCAGATCAACAAGCTATGCCATTTTTCAGCCATTTCATTTAAGGACATCAATAATGTCCATAGCTCTGCCTTAATTTCTGCCCCAAACTGCTTCCCTAAAGGTTCCAGTCTTAATCGTATTCTGTCCTCCAAGGCTGTACAGCACATCTAAACTCTGTTGTATGTCAGAGCTTTCTGATATTTTGAAGAAGCAATCATTTCATGCCTCCCTCAAACCCCACTCCACCCCTTAATATAGGTCTTCATTTTTCTAAGCTAAACATCCCATTCCTTTAAACATCCCTTAGATTGGAACAACTCCCAATCTCCTTGCTGTTCTGATTCTTTGCTACAATTTGCAAGTACTTGATTGGGGTGAGGCATAGCAAAATATTCTGGGTAGAATCTAACGAAGTTAATATCACCACCTTTCTTATTTGGATGCTGTGATGAGCAGAATAATGGGTTCCCAAAGATGTCCATACCCTAATCCTAAATATAATCACGTAATCTGTGAATGTGTTACCTTACATAGCAATATCCTGGATTATACAGGTTGACCCAATCTAATCACATAAATCCTTAAATGAAAAGTAGAGACTCTTTCCTGACAGTACTCAGAGAAAGAAATGTGACCACAGAAAAAGGGTCGGAGAGTCGCTGGTTTAAAAATGTAGGAAAGAGACCACGCACCAAGGATTGTGGGCAGCTTCTAGAGGATGGAAGAGGGAATAAAACAGATTCTCTCCAAGAGCCTCCAGGAAGGAATGTGGCCCTACCAACACCTTGACTTTGGGGATTTCTGACCTCTGGAACTGCAGAATAGTAAATCTGAGTTGTTTTTAAGCCACTGACTTTGTGTTAATTTGTCATAGAGTGTTCATACAGCAGCAATAGGAAACTAACAAAGATGCTGTTCTATAATTAATACAATATAAGATCAGATTAAGGGGGTTTTGTAGGGGGGGGGAATGCATCTTCAAGAAGTGCTTACTGAGAACTTGCAAGGGTCCAGGCATTTTATCAGATACGCAGGGCCTGACCTTGAGGAGTTCATGAGCTAGTGAGAAAAAAGATTCTTCAGAATGAGGTACCTAAGGCTGTAATAAGCTTCTGGCCGCCCCAGACACAGCCTCCTGCTCAGCCACACACCCCCTCCCAAGACGACTGTGGCTGTGGTTTTGCAGCTTTACTGTAGGTGACAATGTTGTTGTTTGCAGAGGAAGAGGAATCCTTTTAGGAAGGTTTTATTTATTTTATTTATATTGTAATGACATGTAAAAATCTATGCATTAATACTAAATCTTTAACACACACACATTCACAAACACATACACAAACAACTGGATTTTTAAAATAAGTAGAAAGAGTG